ACGGCAGAACCAATTTCACTGTGGCTCCCATGGACGTGTTCGACATTGTGCTGGGACTAGACTTCTGGTACGAGATCAATGCTTTCATCTCTCCCCACCTTAACCAGCTGCACATCAGTGACGAAGGCGGCTCCTGTATTGTGCCGTTGGTCCGGGTGCCCCAAAAGGGCATGCAATTGTCGTCCATGCAACTGGTAAAGGGACTCAAGAAAGGTTTCCCTAAGGATCGTCCGGCAATGCTCACCCCCTGCCAACTCGACACTTCGTGATGTGAGGATCCCTCGACTCACCACCACCTTCCTCCCAAAACTTCTTCGTTTTGCCTTGGCTAGCCAAAGCAAGGAGCTGCTTTGCAACCGGGTCGTTCTGCATTCCCTCCTTGATTGCGTCTAAAATGCTGCTGCTGCTTGTGCTGACAAGGGGCGCCAGGACTGCCTTCCGGCTTAAAGCATCTGCAACAACATTAGTCCGACCTGGCTTATATTCCAAGGTGAAATCAAATTCAGCTAGAAAATCCTGCCAGCGGGCCTGCTTGGGAGTTAGCTTTGGTTGTGTCTGGAAGTAGCTTGTGGCTACGTTGTCTGTCTTGACAGTGAAATGAGAGCCCAGCAAATAGTGACGCCAAGCCCTTAGACAGTGGACTATGGTCGTCATCTCCTTCTCATGGACAGAGTACCGCCGTTCTGCCTCGTTCAACTTTCGACTCTCGAAAGCAATAGTGTGACCCTCTTGCATCAGGACGCCACCAATAGCATAGTCTGAGGCGTCTGCATGGACCTCAAAGGCTTTACTGAAGTCGGGTAGAGAAAGGACTGGCTCCTTTGTGATGGCAGTCTTCAGCTCCTCAAAAGCCTCTTGGCATGCAATGCCCCACTTCCATTCCCGGCCCTTTTTCAATAGGTCGGTGAGAGGTGTAGCTATCTTGGAGTAGCCTGTAATGAACTGCCTGTAATAGTTGGTGAGACCAAGAAATGAGCGGAGTTTAGCTACTCGGGTTGGTGCCTCCCAGTCCCTTATTGCTTCCACTTTGTCATGGTCCATTCTGATCTCTCCCTGCGAGATAGTGTGCCCAAGGAACTGGACGCATGGCTGGGCGAACGTGCACTTGTCCCTCTTGACGTACAGTT